AAGGAAGAAATAAAAACAAGAACAGAAGAGAACAACAACAACCAAAACCCTAGAAACTGTGTTCAATGCCAGACATGGTGGCTGGCACACACCTCTGGTTCCAGTACTCAGGAGGCTGAGGCAGGAGGATCGCCATGAGTTCCAGGCCAGCCTCGGCTACATAGCAAGACCCTGTTTCATTAAATAAATAAATAAATATTAAAATGTTCAAAGAATCAAGAAAAACAAACAAGAACCAGAAAGAGAGAGAGAGAGAGAGAGAGAGAGAAAAAAAAAGTCCAATTCAAAGCGTGTCTCTGCCGTCACTGGTAGATATCATGGGCAGACAGAGTCCAGATCTGAGTTAGTTAATCCCAGCAAGCTAGGTGCAGCTTTATGGTAGGGTCATGGATAATCCTAACAAGCCTCCACCTTTAGTTCCACTGAAGTTCAGGCTGGTTTCAGGTTATGAGGCTGGAAACAGATGTTTTGAGCTTGCAACCATCCACGTGCTTCCTGCCGGCTTGAATTTGGCTCCCTGCTGACTTGAACTCAGCTCCCTGACCTCCTGCTGATTTGAATTTGGCATCTGCACCTAAGACACTGGAAGCCACTAGATGGAGTTGGCCCATAGGTGTTCTGAGTTCAGTTGGCCCCTCTCCAAGATGGATACTGGCCAACTGCCCTCTCCTGCGTGAGGTCTGAACCCACGTAATTCACCAGCTGCTGCAATCAGCTACATCCACGGCTCCCTTCCACACTCTCAGTGGAGGCGTCTGTAGTCATCATTGGTGCTTGCCATGCATCTGCAGGTTGGACCTGCCATTCCCAGGCCGTAAGTCCGGATTCTGGAAGGAAGGGCTGCCTGCTACCTCCCTCCTTTGTTAAAGTCTCTGTCTTTGCTCTCCCCGTGGACTTCAATTCTCACTTCAGATCCTTCGTGGGTCTCAAAGACCCACTTCCCTCCTCTTCCTCCTCATTTGGCTATACACACAGTTCTTCTAGACATCAGGGCTGTGTGCTGGAGACAGAACCCAGGCCTAAACACCAAGCAGAAAGCCTAGCAGTGTTTGACTTTTGCTGTCACCTGTTTGTTACATGACCTTGAGATCGAGTTTTCATGGACAAAACCAGCACCCATCCTGTGTGTGCACAGGCAGTGTGTTGTGGAGGCTCAATAAATGGTCGAGATCCCCCTGGCCTTCAAGGACGAGTGAAATTCAACTCAGACAACTTTCTCCTTTTTTTGGTACCAGGGATTGAACTCAGGTCCTTGAGCTTTCGAGGCAGTAGCCAGAACCAATGAGCTAAATCTCTGGCCCAACTCAGATAACTTTTTATCTTGGTGCTTTATATTTTTTTATTGAGTTTATTGGTACATTTTAGGTATACAGTACAATTACATTCATATTGGGATCTTGTACCTTTACACGACAGGTCTTGGCTCTCATTTTTATGGTACTTTATAATTAAGAAATTTATTTTGTCAATCTGAAATTATTTTAGATGTCTCACATTTTTTTAAAAAAATCTTGTTTTTGGAGATTGAATAGAAGCTGTGTGCTCTGTCACTGACCATGTCCCCAGCTGAAAAGCCTTGGTTTGGGTCCCACAGTAGGAAGAGGAAACTGAACTTCTAAGAAGCAGACCAGCTGCAACGACTGTGTAGCCACAGGCAGAATCAGGGTCCTGTGCAGGTTAATGACCAAGCTAATGTCTCTGAAAAACTCAAAACAAAGGGCTACATCTATCAAATAACAAATAACACTCTTTTGTTTCAGGCTTCCTATATGCCATCAAGAAGGCTGGTTGAGCCAGGCATGGTGGCTCAGGCCTATAGTTCCAGCACTCTGGGAGGCTGATGCAGGAGGATCCCAAGTTCAAGTCCATCCTGGGCAATGTAGCAAGACTGTGTCTAAAACCAGAAAATAAGAAAGGCTGGGGCTGTTGTCAGTGCAGGGGCCCTAGGTTCAATCCCAGTCTGCTCCACCTGAAGATGGCATCCTGGCCCAGGGCACATGCTGGTTGCTCAAGGGGAGAACAGGAGTGGCCATGACACTGACTTCTCCTGTCACCTAAAATGCTATGCAAATATAAGATCTCTGTGGAGTTCTGGGAGATTACTTCTTCTTAAATTTAAATTTGTCTGTTGTCCAGGGCTGTGGATTGAACCTGGGGGCCCAGGTGAGCACCCACCCCTGCCCCTTGCCCTCCTGTGTCTTCCCTTATTTTCGGACTGGACAGGCATGGAAGCAAGAACTCCTGCGTGACAGGCTGCATCTGCCACTGAGCCGTGTCCAGCCCATTTCTAATTTTTGAGACAGGATCTCCCTAAATTGCTAAGTTGCCCAGGCTGGGCTCAAACTCCTCCTACCTCAGCCTCCCCGAGTGCTGAGATGACAGGCATGTGCTGCACTCCTCGTACCCCTGCTGCCAACTCCTGAAAGCCAAGGATGCTGGCGTTTTCTTCCACATCCCCTGGAGCCCCTGCCACGGTGGCCTGAAAGCAGATGTCTCAGCAGATGTGTGCTGAAGGGGATTGGGGTCCAGCTCTCATCCAGGGTGAGCGGGACCCTGGGCTTCATTCCCCAGCATCGAGACCCTCAAAGCTGTGAAAGAAGGACGTGTGCTGAACGGATGGCAACAGCTTGACTGAGTGACGGCCAGGTGGTCCTGAGGGCGTCGTCCAGCCGCAGCTTCCCCTCGGCCTTGGGGTGGCCAGGGCAGGGACAGCTCACTAAGAACAAGGAAGGAAGCTGAAGATGCTGTGTCCGCCTGGGACACGCGGAGGGCTCCCAGGGTGCGGGGTGCTGCGGCCCCGAGGTGGGGCCCAGAGCCGAGTGGAAGGTAAACTTTCTTTCCGGAGGGGGAAAGGAGGCTTCCCCAGGATACAAAAGGGCGGCTTGCAGGTTGCAGGAATCCGAAAACCTTTGCGTCCTTCACGCAATCCCTTTTCCAATCCGTGAAACCCAGGCCCCTTCCCTCCAGCTCTTTATAGAGTTTTCTTCCTCCTTCCCAGCCTTTTCTCCTTTCTTTTAAACTTCTTGGTTTAAAATGCGAACCTTTCCTGGATCGGGGCAGCAGCCAGCTCGTTTCTAAACTCGATTCTCTCTTCCCAGCCCCTTCCCCTGGAGTCCACCGCGGTGAGGAACCCATCACCGGCCGGGAGATTTACAAGCGAGCCCCGCTCCGACCTTTTGAAGTTGGCGGGGTCGTTCCCCCCCGCGGAGCCCCGCCCCACTTTCGGGGGGCCCAGGCTCGGGTACCCCCTCTCGCGAGGCTGAGTCTGGAAGCTCTCGGGAGGCGCAGGGCGGGCACGCGGAGCCCCGTTTCCAGGCCCCGCCGCTCCTCTGTGGAGTCCCCACCCCCACCCGACCCCCATTAACTTCGGATCACAACTCCCCAACTTCGCTTTACATCCTGGACTGGGGGAGTGGGCGCGCGGCTATGGCCCCCCTGCCCCCCACCGTTCCCGAGTTTGTCACTCTGTGGTGCCTCCGCCACAAAGAACTATAATGGGCTCCTTTGTGCTCGCTGCGGGGCAATTATGCCCCGGACTCTGGGCCCCTTTAAGAGCCTTTTAAAGAGACAGGCTTCCATTTTTCAGAGGGTCGTGGAAGGGTGTGAGCAGGGGGAGGGGCAAGGCGAACCCCAGGGCCTGAGCGTGGGGTGAGGCGACACGTCGGCCCAGGCTCCGCCAGAAGAGGCAGAGACAAAAGTCTGTAAGTTACTAGTTTTTTTTTTAAGAAGTTTTAACAAAGTTTTGCCTTGATCTGCAACATCGAACAGGAAAGGGGGATCTGGAGCAACAGGGACAGAGCAGCGTCCTCCAGGGGGATTGGGGACCGGGGTCGGAGTTCGGGGACAGTCTCAGGGGCCCTGGCAGAGCCCCCCATCCCCCCCCACTGCCTGTCTCTTTAAAAGCCCAGGGGGGCGGGGTGGTCCCGGGCGTCCGGTTTCGGGGTCTCATTACGGACAACGACCAATCAGAGCCAGGGGCGGGGCCCCATTTTGAATCTGATTGGTCCGGCGCACATTCGGGGCCGTCGCTGAGCACTCGACGGGGCGGTTTCAAGGATCCCATTTTTGGGGGGTGATGGGCGGGGCCGCCGGCGGGGGCCTCCTTGAAACCGACTAATTGGGATCGGAGAGGCCGAGGTGAGGTTGCAGGAGGCACAAAGGCATCCGCGGGAGGAGCAGGGGCAGGAGGAGCGGGAGGAGCGGCGCCCCACTCAGAGGGCGCGAGCTGAGTTCGCGCGGGCCG